CTGTTTTGCCACATACCTTATCTCAACAAGACCCAGGCCGTGCACCAGAGCCAGGCCTCTGGAGCCAGAACCAGGAGATCAGGAATAAAGCCTACCTTCCCCATGGCCCGGGGACGTCAGGCTCCCCTCTGNGCACCAGAGCCAGGCCTCTGGAGCCAGAACCAGGAGATCAGGAATAAAGCCTACCTTCCCCATGCCCCGGGGATGTCAGGCTCCCCTCTGCATGTTTCTGTACCTCTGCTTCTCTAGTCTCTCACTGAAGTACAGCTTTCTCTTCTGTGTGTGCTTGGTTCCTCTACGCACGAGCAACATGTGGTTTCTCAAAGATGGCCAGAGGCTCTGGAGCTAATTTCTAACTCATGGAGTATTCTTTCATTTAATCTTTTTAAAGTTATTTTTATTTTCCACTAAAAACTTTTTTCAACTTTTAAAATTCTAAACCAAAGAATGAAAAGAATAGTACAATGAACACGTATACCCTTTAGTTAGATTTACCAATTGTTATGACTCTATGATGTCTGCTTTCTCTCTGTGTGTGTATTATAGACACTTTTTTACCTGAACCATTTGAAAATAAATTGTAGCTATCATGAGATGTGATCCCCAATTTCTTCTTCATGTATGTCCTGAAAATTGGGTTGACTCAAATCCCAAATTTGCTCTCACTGGTCAGGTGTCCAATCAGCTGTAGTAAGGGGTCATGAGGCACAGTACCATCTTTGGAGTCCATCCCTCTGTGGGGTTGGGTTGGCAGAGAGAAAGTTCTCAGGGAAGGACATGGCTGGGTGGGTACTTAAAATGATTCTCCTGCATCCTGACTACTTTTTTTTTTTTTTAATCTCTTTTAGATTAAGGTGAGATATATGTAAACAAAACATACCAGGTCGTGGACCTCTGAGGTTATCTAAGAATAGCAGAAACCACAAAACTGAAATCCAAAGGTCTACTGCATTGGACAGTAAATCTTCCCTTTTTCTGCTCTTGACCACTTCCAGGGATGGAATTCTGATCTTGGAAGGTTCAGGAATAAAGGAATCATATGCAGGATTCAGTACCTGTGAAAAAATAAAATAGTTAAATAAATAGCTAGTAGTAATTGAATGCTCACCCCGGGTTGGGCACTATGCTAAGTATTTTGCATACATCATCTAATCTCATCCTCATAAAAAACCCTGTGTGATATGATTATTATTCAAATTTACAGAGGAAAAACAGGAGCAAAGAGTTTAGGTAACTGGCCCAAGCAGTTAACTTGTAGGTTTCTCATGCTTCTGAACCTGGAGTCTTAACCACAGCTGCTCTGTATTCAAAGCATAACCCAGCCCTGAATGCTTAAGAAAGCTGTCATTTTCCCCTCCCCCTATAGAGAAAAAAACCTCTGAGCCCATTTTAAAAAACAAAGGATGGAAATGGCCCCGATACTAAAACCGGATGGTCTCTGACAACCCTTATCGCTTTTACTTCAGGAAGCTCCCTAGGGAACAATCTTCACAGAGCAAGTATTCTTGTGCCGTTTAGCACTATCTCTGAACAGTCCCAAATACTTCAAGTTCAACTAAAAGGTCACATGCCTGATAAAGAGAGGTTATCCTTTCCTTAAGAAGGTGATGGCTGTGAAATGAAACCCTCCTTTCTAATCACAGTCCAGCCTCAGCCAACGGCACGTCAATGGGAGTCTCTGAGGTGCTTAGCCAGATGGCAGATGGTGTGTCCCCCCCACACTAACTGCGCGTTCTGAGGGGCCTTTCACAAGGACACCCTGGGCTAAGCAGTGCCCATGGAGCACACTTCTGATTACCCTCATCCTAGCACAGTCCCAAGATCTTGACTCTTGTGATATATTTAACCCGCAGACAGGTTGATAAATACACTATACTCCTACCTCTGAGCCTGCTTGGGGTGCAGGGGTTGAATATTGCCCCCCACTGAGCCGTTCAGGATGTTTCAGCTCACTGTTCAAGTCTGGTTTGAGGATTTGGGGCTTGAATACTTAGAAGCTGTTATCAACATCACAGCCCCTGCTGGCAGCCTCACCAAAGGGAACCCTTGCTCCAGGCCATCCTGGGTTCCTCCTGCCTGGGGCTGTATGTGCCAAGGACACAGAGTTATGTCATAGGAGATCATCACTTTCTTTCCTGGCATTCATCTCATAGACGAAGAAACAGTCCCAACAAATTGAACTCCTTATGACTCAATCACATAGATAATTTTTTAAGTTTTCTTAAGCCTACTTATGTTTGTTTTTGAGGAAGTAGAATGTGTTCTGAAACTTCTATTTGACCTAAATTTTACTGTTTCAAATTTCTTCGGATGCCCTCTAATACAACCATTCTCACTTTAGTTGCCAAATCCCTTTGTAAAGGGAATATTACTCCTGTGGTTAGCTGGGCTCTTACAGGCTACTAGGAAAAGACATACCCCTGAGAGTGAAAGAAATGTGTTCATTGCAAGTATACACAATGTGAGCCAGGAGGCATCATCTCTGTCTTGACCATAGACTTCCAAGATTGAGGAGCACACCAGGCTTCATGGAGACCTGGAACAATACCTCAACACTTCTCACTCAATCTGAGCTCCAATAACCCACTTTCCCTTTCTCTATCTAACATTTATTCTTCCCAAAACAGTGGATTAGATCAGTTTGATACCCCCTGCCCCAACATGGAGCTCCCCTTATTGGTCAGACTGTGATTCTTGGTCTCAATCACCTCCAACCATACCTCTTAGTTTTTGACTCAAGGAGAAATTCCTTGTTTTATCATTAATGGCCAGGATAGCAGGGTAAACACATGGCATGTAAGTACCATTTGAAAGAAAGCTGGGGGCATGACAGAGATTTGTGACTTCATGGTGTATCTCCTAATTTATGTTTACTATGTTCTGTTTTAAAATTTCAAGTTTTCCTTAATGCAGGAAATGCCATGGCTACTGGTAAATTGTGGAGATTAAAGAGTTAACATAGCAGGCCTGAGACTATTATCCTTAGAAAGCCCTGATTGCAAGTTTGGTCCATAGCTGGCATCAGGAAACTTGGATTCCAGGAGAGTTCCCACCATTTCCAGAAATGATGAGAGTGGCTCACTGCACCAAAACTATGCAAACAGTATGGCTTATGCCGAACACTTGCTTTCCTTCCAAGAGTCTGAAATCCTGGCATGTCCTAGGCAGAGAGTTACCCACATGACCAGCCCCCAACAAAAACCCCAGGCACTGAGTCTCTAATGAGCTTCCCTGGTGGACAACATTTCACATATGTCCCAATTTGTGGCTGGGAGAATTAAGAGCATCCTGTGCGACTGTTGGAAGTTTGCACCTGGTTTCCTCTGGTCTCTGTCCCATGTGCCTTTTCCTTTGCTGATTTTGCTTTGTATCCTCTCACTGTAATAAATCATTGTCATGAGGTCAGCTATGTGCCCAGTTCTGTGAACCCTCCTAGCAGATTGTGGAACCTGGAAGTGGTCTTGGAGAACCCCCAACACAGAGTCAATTGGGTCCATATGAATGAAAATTCATATTGGAGTAACACCACTTCCTCACATTTAAAAAAAGAATATATAAGTCTCTTTCTTGCAGGAATATTACAACTCCCTCCCTCATACATCCATTATAGCTATTTAAAGCAATAACTTGAAAGAGGCAGCTTTCTTTGGAAGCAGCCATAGCAGCCNATAGCTATTTAAAGCAATAACTTGAAAGAGGCAGCTTTCTTTGGAAGCAGCCATAGCGACTAAAAATTTAATGAGGGCAAAGAGGAAACATCAAGGGGCAGAGCCAGCTGAAGGGGCTTCCAGGAGGCATCTCTGACAGGCTCCCGCTGAATGGTATTCAGCAGGTTAATGGTAGCATTTCTATTTACCGTGAAAAGCCAGTAAAAATGAGCATTTCCTGCTACCTTCACACATTCTTAATGAGCCAGATTCTTGTACTGCGTGACCTTCATGTGCAGGGCAGCTCCTCTAACCAGCTGCATTTATTCATTTCCATTTTTAAGTTTTGCTGGTGCATTAAAAATAATACCTGCGGGTCTGAAAGAAGGCCTGTCATTGCTCAAAAGTGCCCGATTTACTCCCGGGGAGTAGCCCAGGCCCTGGGAGAATCTCGGTCACTGAGGTTTATGATAAATGTCAGTGATTATGCTGATAACAGAGTGTTCCACCAAAACTAGGCAGGGGAAGGCATTTTCTTCTCAGTGGGAGAAAAAAACATTACCTGCTGTCTGCAAAGCCCAGGGCTGGTGCGTTGGCATCCTGCTTCTTCTCCCAAGGGTGGGAGTCTGGAGAGGAGAGAGAAAAAAGACAAAGGGAGGGTATTAGAGGGAGGGAGATTAAAACCGGAGGTGGGGAGAGGGGAGATGAAATAGCCAAAGAATGAAGAAAGGCTCTCTTCAGCCTTGGCTCTGGCCATGAAAACCTCTATCCCCAGGGGTCTTCTCAGGGGGGGTCTCAACTATTAATAATCTGATGCTGTCCATTAACATCGTGGAGCCACTGATGCCACCCTTCCATCCAGCCTAGACCAGTCCTACTCAGACTGGGACCTATAGGAAGGTGGGTCCATCATTTTGACCCAACACGCAGCCTTTCCAATCTCCACATAAATTCCGAAGGCAGTTCCTTACTCCTACATCTGGATCAGAGCGGGGACTGTGCAATGCCCCATGTTCCTGGGACAAGCCTGTGGTTCTTCTGCCCATACCCCTATGTGTCCTCATGGTGTCTCAAGGTGAGAAAGAGCCCAGGAATCTGGCCCTCGCAGTGTATATTTGTTGTTTCGGTCTGTCCAGTATCCCATCTTTGGAAAGACCTCCCCCTCATACCCTGTGGTTTGTGAAGCTATCAATCAGTGTACTGCCCGGTAGGGATGATATAATCCACACAGAGTCACCCACAGGACTTACCCCTGGGAAACAGGCTTTGTCCGAGGGAGGTGGGGTGGGGGAATGACACAAAGAGGACTCATCAGAACCCTTTCCTGGGTTGGATATATGCACCTTGGGAAAATAAATGCCCTTTTCTTGCTGGAGTTCCAAAGCTGGGAAGATGAAATTTTGGGACTTGCATTAGCCATCTTCTTAGCCACATGGGGAAACTAAAACTGCAGAATCAGCTGAGAGTCTGATGAGAGAGGGAGGTAAGGAGGGAGAGAGAGAAAGAGAGAGAGAGAGAATTTATAGCATTGAGTCCTATATTAGTTTTCTGGGGCTGCCATAAAAATTATCACAATTTTGGTGGCTTACAACAACATAAATTTCTTCTCTCCCAAACCTGAAGGCCAGAAGACTGAAATCCAGCTGTCAGCTGGGCAGCTCTGCCTCTGGAAGCTGGGTGGGAGTGGGGAGGGGGAGGGCCTGTTCCCCACCTCTTCCAGCTCCAGTGGCTGCCAGTACTTGCTGGTGCCCCTTGGCTTGTGGTCGCACCACCGCATTCTCTGCCGCCACCTTCATGTTGCCTTATCTGCGTGTGTTTCTTCTCCTCCTCTGTCTCTGCCTCTCTCTTATGAGGGGGCATGTGATCGCGTTTAGGGCTCACCAGGAGAATCCAGGATAAGACTCTCCTCTCAAGGTCTTTAGCTGACTCGCATCTTTGCCATATGAGACAATATTCACCTTTTTGCATATTAGGTAACATTGGCAGGTTCCAGAGACTAGGGCATGGGTAAACTTTGGCAAGGATGGACAGAGCTTTTTTCTTTTTTTTTTTTTTTTGCCTATTATAGTCCCATTCAAATTCCTGAGACATTAGTTCTAACAGCTCCTCTTCCTTCAACCCCATGTGCACTCACCAGCCAATATGTTCCCTCTTGTCTTAGGCTAGTAAGAGTCAAGTTCAATCACTTGTATTAAAGGTGCCTTTAAATAATACACATCCCTATGTCTGCAGCAGGCTGGGAAATAGAGGAGGCAGCTGGTGCAGTGGACAGAACATCTGCTCTTCTGCAAGTGTTGGAGAAAATAATTTCCTTTTCCCAGCTTTGATGTTTCATAGCTCTTACAAATATTAGGCTTAAAGAACCGTTGCATTTATTTATGCTAACTATTTTATTGTTTTAAGCACTATGAAATTACATTGATGGCCTGATGATCAGTTGGAACTGTTTTCAATTGCAACCAAAAAAAACCAACCTAAGAGGCTTGAGCAAAAACAAGCAGGCGCAGGCGACAAAGGAAAAAAGTCTGGGGCTAATCAGATTCAGCTCAGTTTGAGGCTCTGATGATATTATGGGGCCCCACCTCTTGGCTCTGTAGAGTTGGCAGTATCTCAGGCCCTAGGAGGTGCTCCCTGCAGCTTCAAACTCACATTATCTTATACCCGGGCCAGTGGAAGAAAAGGTCAGTTTCCCTAATGGGTAGAACAAAAATCTTGGAATTGGATCTCATTAGCCCTATTGGCCTGACTTCTGTGAGATGGCTACTCCTGAAATGTGACATACTTCCACCAATAACAACAGGTTAATATATTATGTACATTATAAAACATATACAAAAGGAGTGAAAGATAAAATAAATAACATTTTAAAACTTTATTTTATTTGTTAACAATCAAAAAAACATGTGCTCTCACTGGAAAAATAGTAAATTTAAGTAAAGTGATGTTTTTATTTCACTTAGAAAATATTTGCTTAACATTTTGTGAGAGGGAGAGTTGAAGGTCTGATTCTTAGTCCAGTTTACTTTGATATTTGGTTTTATGACTGTCAGAAGTGAAAAAGATAACTCACTGTTATAGACTGAATTATGTTGCCCCCAAATTCATGTTAAAGCCCTAACCCCCAATGCGGATATATTTGGAAACAGAGCAGAAGGACAGAATCTTAATTTGATTGGACTTGTGTCCCTATAAGAAGAGAAAGAGATACCAGGGATGCACACACACAGAGAAAAGGCTGTGTGAAGACACAGAGAGGAGGTGGTCATCTGCAAGCCAAGGAGAGAGACCTCACCAGAAACCAACCCTGCCAGCACTTTGATCTTGGACTTCCAGCTTCCAAAACTGTGAGAAAATATATTGCTGATGTGTAAGCCACCCAATCTGTTATTGGAATTCCTAGCAGACTAATAAACTACAAACATAAGCAGATCTAGTTGGAAGATGTGCATCATTGATTCACTCACAAAATTACAGCACTCATTTTTCAGTCCTATGAGCCACTCATGCAAAAATGTTGGTCAAAATTTGGCTAGCAAATTTTCCTCTGCTCTAGAAATTATTTGTTCTTCAAATTAATTGAAAGTTGTTGCATTTTTATATTTTTCACTAATAAGTAAATAAACCACTGAAACTATGGATTAGAAGATTTTTAAACAAGTTAGAAAATTTTGTTGATGTTTTAAAAACTTGTATATATGAGAGTTTTATGGGTGCCACACCTTCATTGTTTTGGACAACAAAATCACCTAATGATGAACATTTCCAAATATCCAATTTCAAAATATTTTCTCCATAGTATATGTTTTTAAAAATATATGTTTTTATTTATTGTAGAGACAGAGGAAGGGAGAGGGGGAGAAAGAAAACTACCAGTGTGATGTGATGATCACATTGATCGGTTGCCTCCCACAAGTACCCCAACCAGTGACTGAACCCACACCTGCGTATGTGCCCTGACTGGGAATAGAACTGGAAACCTTTTGGTGTACCAAACGACATTCAAGCAACTGAGCCACACCAACCAGCACCATACAGCACATTTTTTAAAAAGCAATTACTTTCTCATTCATTATTAGCATCACAAATTTTCCTTGAAGTGGCAGATTGTATGTGGATTTTTTTTTTTAACTGATAGGTAGAATTCTACTTGTTATCGCATAAAAAGACAACAAATTTGGAACAGCTGTCTTTATGTCAAATAAATACTTGTGTTTTCAAGTTTGACAGCAATGGCCTCTGTCCTAAGATCATCTGTGAGCTTCAATGTGGTATAAAATATTTACAGTCACTTCCCATATCATTGCTAAGTATTACAAATATTCTGCTATATGCTAACTTATAAAATTAACCACATCAGTGACTTTCTGTAACATACTGTGCAGCTCCGGCCTGTGTCTTTGCTGCAGTAGCTCATCTATGAATGGTGCAGCCAAGGATTCCACACGTAAGGGTGGCTGTAGGACCTTTCCCTGAATCCTTCTTCTGCTCCATTCAGAGAAACCATTCCTCTGTGGCTTCGCTTACACAATTCTTCCAGAAAATACTTTTTAAAGAAGTAATTTATTATTAAGAATATATCTTTTCCAATATAGCTTTCCTTAGATGCTCACAAACAAAATACTTCTTTATGTCATTATTGAAACAGAATCCAGGCAATATAATAGGCTGAGAAACATTTGAAACACCTGTATTTTCATTCCCTATATAAGCCAATCAGCATAGTGTAATTTGCTTTAATACTTGTTTTTTCTGATAATTTTCAGATGTATATATTGATTTTTTTTGCCAGTTTCAATGGTGTATGCTGACCAAAGAATGCATTTTAGCCTGTCATCATATTGTTTTCCAGGCGCTGCTTCTACTATTCCTGATTAGAGCAGGAAGACAGTTGTTTCCCCTAGAGGTATATTTTTTGCCATTAAGTAAGAAATCTAAAAGAAAGTCTCTAAACAATCTAAATTGAGTGGAGTTTTCTAAAGCACTGAATTGAATATTGCACATCTTCAAGCATCACCAAAATGAAAAAAAAAAAAAGAAAGAAAAAGTAGGCATTTGTCTTTATGTTCTGCCTACCTGGTTTCTAAAATTCCTGCTGATCTTGAGCATTTTTAACTGATACCCCAAAGCATGCTTGATATGAAGATATCATTAATAATAATGAGTATGAATCCATATTTCAAATAGCTTTTTGTTACCTTTGAATTTGTTGACTGCCTTATTGTCAGACCTGATCGAGTCACTGTTTTTACCTTGCGAGCGTGACAGAGCGAGCTCTTCACAGAAGCAGGAAACATGGCAGCTCTTTCCTTTTCTGATTAATAGAAAAAAAAAATCTTTATTTTCATTTCTTGGTTTCGTAGCCAACATGTTTTTTACCTCGTTTAGCTAATGCTCGATAGCATTATGATAACCTATTTGAGCGGGCACGCCTCGTACAGGGCCGCGCGGTAAAGGGAGCCGGTCCCCCCGCGTGGGGAACGCCCACGCTCCTCATGGCCCGCGATGGGATGTAACTCATGACTGACATATGGGCCAGATACGGGCACCGCAGTCTATCTGTGCATTTGCAAAGTCGATGTCTATTGTTAGGTTGGAAATAAGTAAAACTATGTATCATGTTTCCCACGCCCTCTGGCGCCCGCGCCCCCGCGGAGAGCGCGGGCTTCGCTGCGGGCCGTGTCACCGCCGCAGGGGGCAGCGGCTAGGCCCGGGGTCCCTCCCCGGCTTTCCCTGCCCATCGCCAGCCTGACTTTCTTTGAGCGAGTCCTCAACTCCCATCCCACCTCCCACTCCCGCTCCACCTTCCCTCTTCCTCCAGTGACCGGCATGGGGATTTGAGGATATCGAGAAACTCAATTAAGGCTTTAAAAAAAAAAAGCGAATTCTAGGGCTTTTGTAGCAGCTCCAGAGAGGGGCTCTCTCCCTCGCCAAGACGGTGCAGCCCAAGCGCGTGATGAGGCCATCACCGCGGCCAGTGTACCACCCTGAGGGCACAGACCCTAATTCCCAGGAGCCACCATGTGGAACCCAGAAGTGAAATAAGGTTGCTGAAGGTAAAGGCAAGAGATGGCATGACATTGGATCTTTGGTGACTATTTGAGATCCTGGATGAAGTCTTTCCTGAAGCCAGGTGTACCCATGGATCTTTTGGGGGTACTGGGCCAATAAATTCCATGTAACTGCAGAAACCATTTATTTAAGTTAGCTTCTCTGCCACCTGCAACCAAAAAAGTCCTCACTGATATAACTGTCAACTCCTTCACGTAATTCATTTTGTTGTTATTGTTGTTTGTCTCGTTTTTCATTTATCATACAGTTAAGTTAACCACACTCTATAGCACAGACTTATCAGCAGCTCCAAGGTCCTACTGAATTATTTCCTAACTAGCACACATTAATTATAAGCTTATGTACCAGGCACTGTTCTAAGTTACTTACATATATTAACCCATTTAACCTGCCCAATAATGCTATGAATTCAGTACTATTATTGTCCCCATTTTGGAAATGAGGAAACTGAGACACAAAGACTTTAAGTAACTTGCCCAAGGTTACACAGTAAGTAGTATAGCCAAGACTTACTACAAAGGCATATTTGAACAAAGGCTTCTGGATCCTAAATTAATGCTCTAAATCACTACAGTATACCAAGAAAACTGCACTGCTTACATACTAATGTTTGACATTGTCCAATTGTCTAATATTTGCCACTGTGGTGAGTGTGAAGTAATATTTACCACTTACTGTGCAATCTTGGACAAATTACTAAAAATCTCTGTGTCTCAGTTTCCTTATCTATAAACTAGAAATAATAAAATAATACTGCTTTCACAGGGTTGTTGTGTAGTTTAAATAATACCAGTGACTTTGAGCATCTTTTCTCTACTTGCTGGACATGCAAGATGGCTTTTTTGGAAACTGCCTATTCATATCTTCTGCCCATTTTTCTGTTGGGTTTTCTGTCTTTTTCTTATTGATTTGTAAGGGTCACATATATGTATATCCCAGTTATGAGTTCCTTGTTAGTTTTAGGTACTGATTCTCTCCTTCTAATCTATCATTGTTTCCTATGGTGCCCTTGATTGAGCATGAGTCTTTCATTTTGATGTGGTCAAATCCATCAATTGTGCCCCAAATGTAGAGAGAATAAAGATAAGATATGCTTATGCCCTAAGCAACTTAAAATCTAGCTGGAGCATCAAGAACAACTATGTGAACAATGTTAAAGGTTGTACTATAATGGTATACAATAAATGCCAAGTTGTAAGGCTGTATAACCAACCATTAACCTTGGAAAAGTATCCACATTTTTCTTAGGTTCAGTTTCCTTTTTTGGAAAATGGAAACAATTTTAAAAAATGCCTTTCAGTTTGTTATGATAATTTAATAAATAAGACATGTTGAATGGTTTGGTAGTACTTGGCACATGGTACCCACTGTAACTCATTTGCAAAGCAGATCAATGAAATAATAATCGCTACTATGTATGGAGGTCTACCACCCACCAGATACTTTCTATAATATACCATATTTAAGCTTCACAGTCCACTGCAAGGCATTATCTCTGCTAATTGTCAGATGCAGAGACCCTGTTTCAGAGAGTTTAAATAGTTTGATGAAGGTCACACAACTAGTTAAGTAAATGGTAGTGACAGAATTAAAAGCCACATTTGTTTGACCTCAAACCTCATGTGCTTTCTTCTATACCAAGTTATTGTCAGAAAAGGTGCTAGAAGAGCAATAAACTATTACTTGAGTTAAAAAAAAAAAAAAGATGGAAATTTGAATAGACAGGAGGAAGAAACGATCATGCCAGATTTTGAGGGGGTACAGTGCATGTGTAAGGGATGAAAAGTATTATAAATTATTAGAGGGCAGAAGCAAAACCTGTACATCACATTTCATTTCACTCTTGGCAAAGAGAATGGGACAGAGTAGCTGGTGGGGGCAACTATTCTCATTTCTCTTATTCCCATATCAAGGAAGCAGGAGTTATCTCACTGGTGAGTGGGAAAGCACGTGTCACTCCAATCCCTCAGGCTTGGGAAGCAGGCCTGCCCTAGGAAGCATATGTTTTCTACTTTTCCAGAAACTGTAAAGCTGCAATTTTACACAAGCAGATTTTCACAGGAAGGGTCCTTCTGCACCTTCAACCCTCTTTCTGCCGTGAGGGTCAGCTTCAGCTCCCCAATTTTACACATGCAGATTTTCCAACTCTGCATGTGACAGTCAGGTACTAAGGGAGCCATGTCTTATTTAATTCTGGGGTGAAGTACGAGCAGGTCCATTGTCCCTGCAAATCTAAAGCCATTTGCCACCATGCCAGCTTTTACCAGGGACAAAGCTGGCATTTTGTTCTCCAACAGTCAGACTCCAGTGGCTATTTCAATGGCTTGTGAACATGCATGGGGAATATGGGTGTTATTTGAAGCCCCTAAAACCACAGCATTAGGCACTTCAACAAACCATGGTATAGAGTGAAAGTGACAGGTTCAGAGGACAATGAGAAGACTGGCCTGATCTGAGCACAGGGAGTATGTTAAGTAGCTGACGTTAGGTTAGAGAGATGGGTGGCCCCAGTAATGGAAGACTTACAGGGAAGGTAGAGAGTTAGGATTTGATGGGGAAGAGTGCTAGAAGTTTCCGAGCAGGGGAAGCACATGAGAAAGACGGTGTTTAATCAGGTAGTAAGAGTATGGCAATGAGTTGCTGTGGAGACAAAGGGAAGAGAGCCTGGAACTGGACCGCAACCAAGAGGTGGTTTCCAGAATTCCCAGAGTGAGGGCAGACAAAGGTCTGGCCTAGGAAAGGGGAAATGTGAGTGACAGTGAAGGGATGCATAAGAGATGTCAAAGGGCAAACTGCTAGGATATGGTGACAACCCGGCCTGGGAAGTGGAGAACTGTTTTGGTGGCACTGCTCTGAAAGAGTCAGATGAGCAGGCCTCGAGCGGATGGGGAGTGCGGCTCAGCCTTGGGCATGTCAAATCTAAGGTGCCAAGTGGATTTGTTCTCAGCACCAGGGACACCAGAAGCAAGGTAGGAAAGAGGCCACAGTTGGGAGTTCGGGGAGTCAATACAAAGAGGCAGCGCACATTTGAAGGCCGCTGGGAAGACGCTGATGGAGATGGAGCTGGAAAGCATGAACATGGGAGGTACCTGGGACGACGGGAATAGGAGCAGAGATACAGGTGATGGGTGGGCGGAAGAGACGGGGGCACAGCTCCTGGACCCGAGGAAAGGACAGACCGGGCGAGGCTGCTAGCAAACGCTGGAGTCAGGAACTTTCCGGCCGAGCAGGGCTGCCGCCACCTTTCCCCCGGGAAATCCACAGTTGAACCCAAAGCAGCCTTCCCCACTCTGGGCCCTGCGCCCACTTCCTCGAGCCCTGGCTGCAGGGACCCCCGCGCTGTGGGTGTCCCTGGACACCTCCGGCTCTCTGTCACCCGCGGAGGGCGGCTGGAGCCTGCAGAGCGCCTTTTCCTTCAGGTTCCCACCCCGCACCGGGCCGGGCCCCCAGCAGCACCGCCCACCTGGGCACCGCCGCAGCCCGAGCCCGCTGCCCGCCCGAGCTGCCGCAAGCCAGGGCCCCTCCCGGGGTTAGGTTTCGCCCCCCCCTCCATTTTTGTTGCAGTGTCCCCCGGGACACCCCCTCTCTGCCTCTGTCTCCACGTCCTGGGGGCCGGGCAGGGAGCGGGGTTCGGGCGGCGCCAGGACGCACGCGGGCTCC